GCAGCCGGCAGCCTTTCTACGGTTCCGCACCCCGAACCACTGGCGTATGCTGGAGTTAGCGATCCGACTTGGCATGAAGACGATTGTCCTGCTTTATTGATTCTGTCAGAAACCTCACATTTTGGTCTTCACCAGTAGTTATATGTAGAGCACAATGCAGGTGCGCAGCCCAGGATCGAAAGACCTGACATAGCTACGCTCGGCGCGCACAGGAGCATCCCAGTAACATCATTAGTTGGGGAATCCTGCACTGATAGTCCGGGCAGTCTTAGTATTCTTGCTATTTGTGCGGCTTGTTTGATGATGAAATTATCGCATTCTTCTTTTGAGCACGGTCTTCAGTATCATCCGACTACAAACTATAAATTTATAATTTTTTAAAGTTTACCCGTCTTCCCATCCTCCTCTTCTTTCTTCTTCCTTACGCACTGCGACCGGGATACTGACGAGGTCCAGTCGCAGTGTGGAGTTAAGACGTATATGACTTAATGGACCGAAGCATCTTAGCTCACTCTTACCTCCAACCTTCATTCTTGCTTTTGCGCATCCCACCGTCTGCACTTCCAGGATTGACCTGGAGGCTACAACCTATTTCACACAAAAATTTTAGGATCAGTTCTCCAAACTGCCTCCAGCTCTGCGATAATCTGAACTTTTGGTTGGAATGACCGCTTCCTGGGTGAGCGATCAGTTGCACACACTGCTGGGCTGTAGTGACCACACAACGGTACAGTATATTTTGGCGCTGGCACGTAAATCCGTCGATGCCGACGAGTTGTTGGATCGTTTCCGGAGCACAGAAGCGATGAAGGATACGCCGGAGGTTCGGCGATTCGCCAGCGAACTGATGGCACAGGTACCACATGCAGGTAAGCTCGTTTTTGCGCACCCTATTCGCACAGACCTTATTTAGCAGGCTTCACTTTCTAAGGCTTCTCTCCCGCCACAGCCCAAGAAAATATTGCGTGCAAACGAAAAAACACAAAAAAATACAACTAAATTTCGGTTCCCTCTCCCTACCCCTTTCGCGGAAAGACTAAATAATAGAGAAATTGGTTGTACTGCTCACAGACCGCATCGACAAGCAGCCGGCAACTTTTCCAGTTCTTTTGACCATTGCTGTATTGCTTGATGGTCAGCTCTCTGGCAATCCTGACACTTCTGCTATCCCATGAAAGGATGAGTATCAGCGCACCGGTCCTCTCTATAAAAGCATTTATCAAAGCTTCAGCTGTTTTCGCCCGAAGATTTTGATTCACTCTCATACGAAATATGCTTCAAGCTAAACCACGAGATATGTTTTTATATGTGAGCGGATCAAAATTCTCAAACTTTTTTTGAATTTTTGATAAGTAGAAGGGGATGGATTTTTTGCCATATTTATATTTGTTGGGTTTCGTGGCTGGGCTTC